GGCTGAAACCTTACTGAGGAAAAAAAATATTGAAGATAGAGAGATAGATCGTATCTTGGGAAATTATGTACTCGAAGAGAGATTGGTCTTTTTGTTGGTCGATACAGTTTAACGAAACTATACAAATACAGAAATTATTCAGTACTTCTGAGTTTGTATGGCAGGCCGAATTAATCCGGATACAGTTTCGTGTAATACGCTTCAATATTTTTGTTTTTGTAAAAAGTCACTCTTAGAGATTATAGTTTAGTTACATGTTGAAGAATTCAAATGGAGGGAGAGGGTTGGGGGGTACCGGACCTTATTTTAAAAAGGGTATTATGTGTTGTAGGGCTCGTGTAGCAACTGTGGCGTTGCTTGTCATAGTGTTCGTGCGACGCCGAAAGGACACGCGTGTCACAGCTGCTATCTGCACTGGAGGTCAGTGAGTGCAAGTCAAATTAAATATCAGTAATTAAACAATCATCGGACCTTTCCTCAAAGTAAGAATGCTCGTACGAACATTTTATCATCTATTCGAAGAACACAAGACGTCATCTCTAGAAACTTATAAACGTAACATTGTAACACTCGCGTTACTCGTGCTTTATTTTAGATGTATGAGCATTCTTATCAGTGCACCAGCTAATGTTTTCGCAGAACCTGCATTTCATATATACCTGTCCTCATAAAATCGAAGTACATTGTAGATCAGACCCATCCTTGAGTAAAACAGACAAATACATTGCAAACTTATTCGAATGATTTAGGCGAACTGGTGTAGCAAGGCCATTAAGTTCCATGCCGGGTCGTACAAATAAAAGAAAACCACCCCGTGGCCTGGTCGTTAATCACGATGATTTAGCAGCATTGGCTGGCCAACCGAATCAAGCAAACAACAGTTTACAAGCGATCGACACTGAAATTGTTAGCCTAAAACGCCAAGTACGTTTTAAACAAGATCAATCAAGATCAATGCGTTACGACAATAAACGTGTGGATACATTTTTTTCCAAAAACATTCAAAGATTTTACGTATCTGAAGGGCAACATCATCTTTAGGGTCTTCTGAAATAAAACTAGAATGTTTAGAAGCTAGATGAATGCCGCTATCGTTGCACGTATAGATTTAAAAAAAAAACATTTATTTGCTAAACTATAAAGGTGGTGTTTCTCCCTCAATACTCGATGATAAAATATTTATTTACTATATGAACAATGTTTTTTTTTTCAATGCACAGATACAGTCGAACAAACAACAAGTAAGTGCGTTGAAACGTAAAACGACTGATGGCATTGACGATTTGCGACCACCAGAAGTGTCGAGTCGTATAAATGCCCGTTGGACAAACGATGAATTACTGTTGGCCGTTCAAGGCGTCAGAAAGTATGGAAAAGACTTCTCCGCGATTGCCGATGTAATTGGTACTAAAACAGAGGCTCATTTGCGATCGTTTTTCGTCAACTACCGACGGAGGTATAATTTAGACGCGGTTTTAAAAGAATACGAAGCTGAGAATGGTCCGATATTGATTGACGACGAAAAAGAAGAAAAGGTAATATATAAAGGAAAATATTTTTGGCTTACTCAACTCGCAACGGGTTTTATGTAGAACAAATTATTCAATTTCTATACGTTTTTATTTCAGATGGATGTCGATCAGCCAAACGAGACAGCGGAATCATCTCAAAAGACGAAATCATCTGTTGGCCTTGGGCAGACGGCTAAATAACAAATGAGTATACTGTTGAGTACCAAACGTGAAAAAAATAATCACAGGCACTTTGATAATCGATAATGACGTAAAAAAAGAAGGTATTTGTCCATAATTGAATTTGCAATTTATATTTTTTTCATTCTTCGTTGTATCGCTTTGCTCTATGGTGGTGCGATCTCGAGTTAGAAACGCCAAGCACAAGGATTTTCATTGAATGTCATTGTGTGTGGTACAATGATCGGTATAATGAATATACGAATGAATTAATATGAAAGAAAGCGTGTGAATTTATTTAATTAGCGTTACGTTTAGTGTAATATCTTTTGTATGTATCCGAAATGGGACTTTTATTAAGCAATCTGATAGAAGAGTGGTTCCATTAATAACGTTTAGCGTATCAATTTAAGAAAACGTAAATTTGATTAAGTTAACGCATCCAAATACAAGTATAAGCATTTTCAACGATATACATCGTGCGTAATGACGGATGCATATTAGTAATTTCTTTGGTGAGTAAATTAATTGTATCCTGTAGCACATAATATTTCTAGATATACGTAAGAGGCGTAAAAAGTTCCATTTTGACTAATGAAAGTAATTTAAAGAAAACAAAAATTACTTGTTTTAAGTATTAACTAGCCATTGTTGTAAATTTTGCCGCTGTAATATTGCTATGTTTGTATCGATTTCGAGGTTTACATCTATTTTGTGTCAATCTTTTTCCTTCTATATTTAATTGTTAATAGAGAGTTTTTAAGAAATTTGAATGAATTATATTACGGAATTGAAGAAATGAAGCAACCATTATTTACATTTCTTTTATGTAGAACATCGATAAATTAATTTAATATTCTTCTGATAGTCGCATAAGACTTTGATGCCGGATGAAAATTCTTGTATTTGTGCCTATGCATTTCTGGGCGTACAAAAGAAGTTTAAGGAATACAAGGTTGTAAGTTAAAGAGATATTTTTCTTTTTTCTCCCCGTATCTCTTTACACTGAATCGCCATATGTACACCTTACCTATAATAACGTTAAATATATGCCGTGAGTCAGACAATCTTCTATTCTATACGGAAACAAAATAAGACGAGGAGAAAAAAGAAGTTTCTACACAGCTGTCGATTTTTAAATGGTTGAAATGACCGATTATGATTACATGGAACAGAAGGTACTCGGTAAAGTAAGGTTTAACGCATTCATTGCCAAATTATTTTACTTAAAATATTGAACTGCAACGATCGCGTTAAACAAGCTATTTGCTAGAGAAATAATGCTCAACGAAAAAGGTACAGTTTAATTCAAATTTTAATAAAAGAACGTGTAATATTTTATCATGATATATCACAGTGTGAATTTCTTTTACAAGTTTTATAGAATAACAAATTTGAGGGGTTGAAAATCGTGCTGCAAAAAACAAATCAGATTAAGGGAAATAAATATATTTTTGTGGCTTGCCGCTACGTACTTGATCGAGATGTATAAAAAAAATAATGGTTCCTGAATATTTCTATTGTATTATGCAAAATTATCTAACGAAGGCACATATATACTAAAATTGACCGTATTAAGAAATAACGGTGCTTCTATAGTTACAAGCCCAAGTTTTCGTACTCCAATATAGAGGAGTACCCCATTTATAATAGAAAGATATATTGAATAATTTTAATGGTGAAAGTCTCCGCATACGTACAAGAAAAAAATACTTTCAACAAATTTTTCCAAAATAGTTTGTTGTTCTTACAATGTTAAATGTTTGAACGAACGTAAAATGCATATATCTGCTTGCATCTTGATATAGTTAGTTTAATTTTAGAATGATAAAAAAAAAAGTTCTTAACGAATCTATTTTCAAAAAATCATTTAATCGTGTCAATTGTTCTAAAAATTCCGACTTCATATTAACTGTATTATAGATAAATAATAATTCTGTTCATTTTTACTGATTATTAAAGCCAATCTAAATAGATACACAATTGTGTTTAACAGCAACTTTTTAAAGCAAATACTTTTAAGACCCATTGACTTTCAATCATTTTCACTGCTTTATGGTAGAATATTAAATCTTAATTTTAGTTTCATACGTACATCATCTACATTTACTATTAATAGCAATAGTAATAATATTGTTAGTTTAATGTTTGTCTAGGTAATGTTGACTACTTAATGTTAATGAAAAAAAAACACAACTGTAAGTGCACGATTCTTTTCTTTTTGTTATTTCTTAAAAATTGATTGTCAGACTACGCACCCTTTAGCAATTATTATATAACATACTTGGATGTAAATAGAAATGATCACCAAAGAAATTTAATGTAACGGTTAGCGACATATCACAAAGACTGATCAAATAGTCGCTAGGACTATCTGGTCGGGCAAGAAGATAAAACTCAAACGCGAAATATATTGAGATCAGAAGCGAGTTACAAATTGTTTGAAAATTTTCATTTAATATAAACTATTTTATTTGGATGACAATTTAAGAATTGTAAAAAATTTGAATATTTAGCAAACTGTACCTACATAACTGACTGTAATCTGTTATGCTCTGATCCATTTTCATCGTGTATAATTATTTCATATGCAAAAGCACGGCATAGTGTTCAAATAAATTATTAGAAGTAAGTTTTTGATAGCTTAATGTTGAAGAAAGAAGCTACTTTTGAATACTCTGTTGCACAACTGCTTCTTTCACGGCGAATGTCATCTTCTTTCTTCAATTGTCATTTAATTACAAATGCATTTAAGTAAAGGACGATGCGAAGTTAGCGAATAAAAGTTTCTTCAAATAGACAAATCTGCTTAATACCTGAATATCTTTTGAAATTGAATTTTTGTAATTTTATACGTCGCCGATGTTTTTTCTTTTCATAATCGAGCAATACATCGTGAAAAACATCGACGTCACGCGATAATTTTAATTCGTATTATTATTGTTAGCTCGACAGTTAAAGAAACGTAATTTCCTGGAAGATGTCACAATAAAAAAATTCACTAGATTATATTTAATATCGCGCAATGGTGCAAACTGTAGATACGATGGAAAGAACGAGAATTTCGCAATGTATAATATATTCTATGATCGTTCAAAATTTTCTAATATTCTGATACGATTAATGTAGTATAATGTAAATAGAAAATTATAAACTTTGCGAATGTGTACACATTCTTATAATCTTAAGGTGTACAGATGTATTTATTCAGGACTATTAAATATCTCTTGTGTACTTTGACGATTTACAAAGCATTTATTTTGAAATTCCTCGATAAATATGATTAATTTTTAATTATAAAATGCATCATCATTGCTTATCGTTTATTTCGTTGTAATAGTACATTACTTTTTTTTCATAATTAGCTGTACTCCTGTATTACAATTCTTTGTTTCCTTAATAAATAATCTACGTATTTAGTATTTAAGAGAACTTCTAAGTTAGTATAATCGAGACATTTTTCTTGAAGCTGATATTTCGTTTCAGTTTTATTCAAGACGTCAATGACACTCTCGCCATTGTATTCTGCGATATTTTCTGTAGAGCACTTGTCAGAACTGTACTTACTTCGTTGTATGTAATAAAAACAAAGATTTAAGAACTTCGACTCTTCCCTGTAAAAAGGATTGTCATCGTGATAGAAAGGATTCTCGATTGTGACGTTGACGTCGAAGTTTTTAATACTGTGCGTAAACAGTTTCACGAAATATAGACTGGTATTATCGTTTGTGAAAAATGTCGATCGATCAAGCATAACTTCAGACAGTAGTCTTTGATATATGTGTTCAACGTGTTCTAAATTACTGCATTCGGTGCTAATTGATCGTAAAACATGTGCTCTTAAACTATCCGCGGTAGCTTCACGTATTTCTGAAATTTCATCCTTCAACAAAATCAAACAGCAATACAAAATCGTTAATTTATTTTGGTTTGTTAGTTCTGCAAAACGATGCGCTGAGAATTCCATGAATTCGACTGCTATCTGTCTCATATGTTCTTCTTCGTGAACACATAAATCGAAAACATGAGACAATATCGTGCTTATAATCGTTTCATTCTTAGAAAATATTATTATTAGTATATACTTCAAACGCCAGAAACTAGAATACCTTGCACTTTCTTCTGTTTGCATAGATAAATTACCTAACAACTTCTCAATGTCTAATTTCCTTAAATCTGACATTGGCAAATGTTTCAAAGTTCCTAGGACGTAGTTCACCATTGCATTCAGAAGCAATTCATCGTAATCCTGTTCGTTTGATAATAAACGTTTGAGAACACTTTTTAGGACGGGTACACGATACGATAAGTAATTTAGGAAAGAAGTACTTTGATCGATGCAACGAGAGTCTAATGTTTTATGCAGAATGTCGATGTTAATGATATTCGTACGATTAACATAATCTGCATATAGTTTCGTAGAAAGATCGATAAATTGGAAAAATCCTGGCATTATCTTCTCGGAAGATAGTACAGACATGTTTTGATCAAAGGGAAATATATCTGTGACACACATTTGCTCAGAAATAGATTCCGATAGTTGTAAAAATAATGCTTCTAACATATAACATATTTGTGGATTATTTTTCTTTTCAGACATATTACTAAACGTCCGTAATACTTTTCGGAACCGTAATAATTCTATACACTGTTCCGATTCCTGATTTGTGTATTGTCTTGAATTTAACTTTAAATTTATATTGTCGATTTCGAACGATAACTTTTCCTTCAAATACTTTATCGCCAATAAGTAACCATGAATGAAATTAGCATTTCGGCTCGAAGAAACCTCGTGTTTCAATACCATGATCTCGGATTCAATGCTCAAAAAGTCTGTTAACGCTGCGTATGCCTTCGCCGCTAACAGTCTGACATATAAAACGGGATTATTAAATAAAGTACGAATTAAATGCTTAACCTTCGATACAAACTCCTTCGAAGAATAATCGATCAAATTGCAACCGCTGTTTGAATACTTTGAGAGAAGAATAAGAATGTGCACGATATTCGAATGTAAATACAACGCAGTAGAAAAGTTCATGAACGTAGACGAAAAATTATGCAATTCTTTCATAACGTAATCCGCGAGTACAGGATAATGCGTAACGAAATGATTAATGGGGTAACCATTTCCAAAGTCGAAAGCCTCTCCACAACTTTGGCCTGCTAATCTTGGAACGATTGCACCAAACAACTGTAGGCCTGCATTTCTAAAAATATTTTGCAACCATGCGATTGTTTTAACTTTGTTCTAACCAATGTTAAATTATATCTGTTTAAAAATGTTCAGTATTACCTTATAGTCCATATTTCAGATTCCAAATATTTGAAACAAATCAACGAAATCCTTTGCATATACGGAATTAATTGCGCGTGTATTTCTTTATCGGCTACTAAAGTACGCAAGAAATGCAAGCGCCTCGCCCACGGAGAATCGTGTTGAGATTCTACGTTGTTTAGAGAAGCATCTGAGAAATTGTTCAACAAGTCCAATAATTTTTGTACAGCAAAATGTAAAATAGGTCTATCTCTTCGATTGTCGCTGACGACAATTTTATGAAACATTATCGATAGCCCAGCACCTCTTCTAGTAATGTTCAAAGAATGCATGTCACCGTCTTCTAGTATACGTGATACGTGTATTTTAGGCAAATTACAGTACTTAGTTTCTTTGCATAAACATCTGGAATTTGTAATTATCCACGATTAGAACATAACCTAATTTAAATTTAATTTAGATAATACCTAGTTAAGTGTCCTATTGCTGTACCAGCAGCTTCCACTACACCTTTGTGCCTACACCTGAGTAATATAGTAACGATAATATCAGTAGAACACTTCACAATTTCATCTGAATACATTAATACTCCTATTTCGCAAGCCATTTCACAGATTACCTATATAAATAAGAAACAAATTTTGTTAATTTTATTTCTTAAAGTCAAACCTATATGAATTAAAAGCAGATCTTTACCTTTAAAGACATCCAAATACAAGAAATGAGAATATGATGTGCAGGAGTTAAATTTAACTCGTCAAAATTAATGTTATTTACTTCGCTGTTTTTAATTGCTTCGTCAATTGCTAATCCCATTTCTGCAAACGATGATGAATATTCTGAAAATTGAGTTGTATTAATTTAAAAAGAAAGGGTCTTAAATTCTTGAAATTAAAGAAGACATACCTGTATTCTCAGATTTCGAAGAAAGTACAGATAGAAAGAAATTTGTAGCATTCTTCAATAGGTGTAATATTTTTTCAACAAATTCTGCAGTTAGGTAACAATATTCTGGGCCATTTTGAAAAGCAATATTTAATAGAGCAGTCAACATCCCATAAAATGGTTTATTCTGAACAATTGCCTTTAGTATATCTGTTTTCATCTGTGCTAATTGATTTGCTGATTCATTAAGCAAAAATTCTGAATATCTCGTATAACTATTACAATTTTTATATTTGTTTCTATCACATATTGCAAGAGTACTTTGCAAGACATCTATAGGTAGCCAGTTTGCTAAAACTGATACTAGAGCAGCACCACTTTCGATTTCATAGAATTTAGAAGAATTACAGTGTTTCAATGCCACTCTATACAATACCTAAATAAATATTCTGTATTTAATTACGTTTTCATTTATAAAAAAAATACACTTAAAAAAAGTATATGTTAACTACCTGAAACTCTAAATTAGTTAAAATATCCTTGTCAAAGTACTCAAGAATAATACAAGTACTTAGTTGTTTGACATCAAGTGCAGAGTCTAATACAAGCTTTAATAAAGCAAATAAGCTTTGTTTATTTGTAAACTTCCAGTTCTCTGTTGCCTTCAAATGCTTTTGCAGTAATAAAGTACAAGACGTATTCTCAATGTTATTAGATTTATTCGATCCGTTTTCGTTGCTAAAGGACAGTATGGCCTTATATAAATTTAAACCAAGTTTTTTTCGTTGATAACAGGAGCCAATTTCGAAGCAATCCAACAAAAATTCATGCAACCAATGTGTAATGTAATATACATCGTCTAGGCAATCTGGTTTGGTGTCACACATTTTTAAAATATTGGTATATAATATTTTGAAATATTTGACAATTCCATCTCTCATATGCACTGTTGTAGCATTTGCATTGTGCCATAAAAAATTCCGTATTGGAAAGAATCGATCTCTGTTTTCATCATATAAATCATTTACTTTGTAACAATATATTGCAAAACCATTTAATCTCACAATGTCTTCTTTATGATTTATATAGCATTCAATTGTTGATTTTTGTGGAAGATCAATACGCATTTCACTAGCCATTTTCTGAAGATGTGAACAAAGAAAAAGTTCATTTATATCCATGGTCATATCCCATAAATATGGTAAAATATTTCTGTACTTTTTAACAACTGGTTCAATCCAGTGTTTACAAAGTAATTGAAGAGCATTATAATTTGCACTGTAATTAAAAATTCCTATTTAACGTTTAACTTCTTATAATACCATATACATAAATCTGCAATTAACTCACTTTCCCATTGTTTCCCAATGATGAAAGAGATAATTCATTATGTAACCGAATGCTGTCTTCCATTGATCTTCGCTTAATTTCTTTATAATGGCAATATAAACCTTTGTTCCTGCTGAGCGCAGATAATATTTTGTTAAGCTTGTGCTCAAAGAAAATAAAAAGTCACGAGATGTTATAATTGTAGTATTATCCCAAACTTCGCAAATTTCTGCGAGTATGTCGTATTTTATTTCGTTCTGCCAAGAGATTTTATCGACACAATGTTTAAATACAAATTCCAGATATCCATTGTACTTTTTTTCCATAATTTTCAGGTACATATTAAAAATGGATACTGAGTTTTGTTTGCTTATTTCACTAATAGCATTACACCAATTCGAAAAAATAATTGCCTCTAGTCTTTGCTCTGTTATTAAATCGCATGTATTCCAAAAATTTGTATCCATGGTTCTGTGTAACCACAGGTATAATATTTTGTATGCAAAATAAGAATGTTCAGTATATTTTATACAATGTTCGTATACAGTATCGAACATGAGAATACAATCATCATCTGAATACATTTCTTTATAATTTACTTGTAAGTATCCATGAACACAAATTAATTTCAATAATTCAGGCTGCATAGTATCATACTTCTTATCCAAGAAGCACAGCTCATTGGAATCACATATTAATAAATTATTAAAGGTGTCTTTTAATAGAACCAAAGTAGGTTCCATTGACAATAAAGCAAAAAAAGTGTGAGAAGCTAACAAGGTTCTTTCTCTTTTTATTTCTGGGTTTGGAATACAGGCTTGTATAATGTGTGTAAGAATTGGTTGCCATTGTTTCAAATTTTCATTATTCCATGGTTGTTTGTGTGACCAAGCATAGTTTATCAATCTCTGAAAGGACAAGGGTATAAATGTTTCTAATAATAAAAGTAACAAATATTAAAATGTTATTTGTTTAAAATATACTGACTCTAAAAATAACAGTGTCCTCTGTGCATGTTTGCAACTCTCTGACTAAATGATTCAATTCCATATCTTTTGTACACTCTTTATGCTTTATTTTAATGTTTATATTTCTTGTTTGTTAATCATAAGAATTAGTATTTGTTGTTTGAAAATCAAACGTTGCTTTTGTAGTAACTTGTGCAGGTGAATCAGACTTATCTGTTTTATCTCCATCAAGACTACACATCCTGTAATAAACAGGTAATAATAATGCTTTTCAAAAATTTCATTTCTCATTAATTATAAAAGTAATTGTAACATAATTAACTCTTGCAAAGCCATAAATAAATTTAAAAAGTTTAAAAGATAACAAATTGTTGGTTTAAATATAGACAAGCATATTATTTAGCAGCCATCAAACTAGCCTTCTGCTCCAAATGTTCTATATGCCAAATATTTGAAAAACCAAAAAAAAATGAAATCTGCCTAATAGAATGGATTAAGGATTGTCATACAATATAATGAAACAGTGTCATGTTACTTTGAAGCATTTGTTTTATTATAAGTAACAGAAATAAGGAAACTTAATATGAAAACAGTTCAACAACTATTAGTTTAAATGTGGTAACTTATAAATTGTAATCATTAAATTAGAATTATGCTGGATTTGGCTCTCCAGGAACATACCCCCCTTGCTCTATTTGCTCTTTGAATTTCAAGTACTCTCGCTTACGATCAAAGTGTTTTACCTGGTGAAAAGTTGTAAAAATGAAGATTCAATTATAGATAGGAAAGCATTGCAGATTATTTCATATTGTCACATGTTACCATTATTAGAACAAAAGTACAAACACTAATGTTTTTAAGTTTATAAGACAACTATAATCATACATTGCCTAAAACATACCCATAACGCAGGACAAAACTTTTCATAGTCTTCTCTAGATTTCTTACATTCTGAATCTGATTTACCATCATCAAGACATTTCCAATATACATCCCTATAATTCCAGCATTTTGTACGGTCGTCTTTATTTGGGAAAGACATTCTAAAATAATTGAATCTTATTATTAAATACTTTTCAACTTATTCAATGCTTAGACCTAATATTTGAACTAATCTATACTGGTCGCTACACATACACTTTCTATGTATTCTTTAAACTTTTTTATGCAAATATATGTTTTAGTAAAGAAAGCTGTAAAATATACAAACTTAGAAAAAGTAATATGTACTTACCTACACAGATATTTTGTAACTGAAATTTGCAGTGAATGTACAAATGCTCACTATTGAATTTGAGATGTATGATAAACACTTATTTTTATAGAATCAAAAATAAGATCCTTAAAATAAAACTAAAACCATTATATAATCTTGCATCATTTACATTGTATGTACTATTATACATCATCTGCGCGTTAAAAATGATTAAACGAGGAAAGAATAAATTTATTGATAAACATAAAGGAATTCTTAAAAATTTAACAGAGAGTCATATATTATTAATATTATTTTTCACGTATTATTTATATTCTAGGTTAATCGTGTGGATAAATATTTGTTTTTTAATGTTATAAAATCCTAACAACATAAATAAATATATAGATGTACAAAATACTATAAGATCTGAAGTAAATTTAAATTTAATATGTGTGTACGTTTACATTATATAAATTATGAGAACTTTTATGATAACAATAGTTTATATAGAAAGAACTCCAACCTCTAACTAACCTGTCTATTCCTTTCGTTGGAACTATAAAATAATGCAATATACAATATTAATTTTTTAAATATTGACCACGTTTGTATTAGATACTACAAACTTTAGAAGTATATAATTATCATTTCTCAGTTTGTTATGTCTAATATATAAAATGTGAAAGAACACATGGTGTTTGCCTTGCAGATAGAATGTTAGCTTTACAGAGTGCGCTCAAAACGTGTCAGTTTTTATTAAAATTATATATTAATAAATCGTATAAATACATAAGTACGGCGAATAATGGAAAAAATTCTTGATTAAATGTATGTGAATATATTCTTTATATTTTATTATGTACAAATTTCTTTCAGCTTACAATACATAACTGTTGTAAACTTCAATTTCACAAAATTTGCAAGCATGAAGCATTACATATTATTTAATAGTTCAAATACTTTGAATATCTCTCCTGCAGGGTAATTTTATTCTATACAGCTTTAAAGAAGGTAATAGTTTGTTACACATGCAAGAGAGACACCTTAATTATTTTACTGGTAATTACATCACCTTGTGTATATTTAAAAATAGAGGAATTTGCTTCTATGTAAGATAAATTATAACTAAAACTATAACAATACATGTGAATACCATCCCCCCAACTAAAATAAATCCATCTTGCCTTGCTCGTTTCTCAATTAGTCTCATTGTAGTGTTTGAAAGCCCTAATGTATTTCCGATATCTATCAATCGCTTATGAGCCCCTTTTAAAGATATTCGTTGTGTTCTTAAATTATCTAATATATTACTTCCGCTTTGAAGAAGGTCGTCAACTCCATGAAGTGCATTTCTCAAACTAGAGTTGTGTTGGGCATTGTGATCTATCATAATATCAACATGATCATTAGGAGTGAATGTTGTAGATAATAAGGCCTCTCTTTCAGCTTCTTCTCTCTGCTTTCTCATAATTTTGTGCCGCCAGGAATTTAAAGCAGCGGTAAGGTGACGACTGTCATATTTTAATTGGTCTACTCGCATCTTAGCATTTTGCCTTTGAAATATAGGACCTTTCAGGCAGAGTACATCTAACCTTTCGCAATTACTGTCAAATAAATGCATAAAATGAAAATAGATCTAACAATTGTAAATCATTCTTTTTTAATATACAAATATAAATATGATTTAAGTAAGTAATATATCTATTCCTCAAGTTACATAAACTTATGAATATATAGTTTCCCAAGCAAAAATGAATCAACAAGGTTTATATTCTCTTTACTTATGGTACTATATTGTTCTTAACCTGAGAGTGATCTTTATTCCTCCTACAATACATTGTATTTAGACACATTGCACATGTACGTATGTATATTATTTAGAAAGAATTTAAAAAGTAATTTGAGGATCTACATAAGTTTGTGAATCTTAGCATCGTTTTGAAGTATTTAAACCAAAAGTCTGTTAGTTAACTACCTGTTGATGAGATCTATTTTTGATTCTATGGTGTTTTCTATTTCCTTGATGTCTAGGTTAGGCGATGTTTTCTCAAGCTGTGAGAAAAGGTGTTGAGTTTCCTGAACCAATTTGTTCGTCTGATGATACAACGGTTCCATATTTTTTAATAAATATTTTTATTCGTCCTTTAATATCCACGATAGTTATGACGTGTACATTAAACAAACTGTCAGATCGAATTGGATCGAATGTCTGTAGTAGTTATCAAATTCTGTCCAAAACATTTTAAAGTTTCTTTACTATATAAAACGTTAAACATGCGAGAAGCACTGTACATATTTACAAATGTTTACAAACAGTAGAAATTTAATAAATATCTCATTTTTTCGAACACGTAAAATATTGTTTCATTAAAATTCCGTAATCTACAGTAGAGCAGTACTTTCCACTTTAATGAAAGAGAAGCAGAAGCTACTGACTCTGACATCTTTGCGTTTCATTCAGTATATACAGAACATTTTTCTGTAATGACCTAAAGTTTAACTTCTAAGAAATAATTAAACAATTTATCGTAGTCTTTACAATATTCGATCACTTGCAGTGACGTGCTATTTGTAATAATGAAATATACCAAGCGAGACTAACAATTGAATCGAATTATTGCATTAGTTTATTTAAAGAAAAACATTGCTAATTTTTGCAAATGGATATCGGCGAATTACTCTCATACAAAGTATGTTTACAGTGAGCATTGTTTAAAAAGTGTTTCGAAGTTCGTTGTTGATGGAAAGTTTTTATTTTAACCTAACTAACCTTAAAAATATCGTCACTTTTTACAGCCGCCAAATACACCTAAAAGACCAGTAGCTGGAGAGGATGACGACGACGATGAATGGGAAAATACTAAGAGGCCAAAAAGGGTTATGATAACTCCATATCATCCACGTCAGCGACACACAAGAGAGATCGATGTCACACCAGTTAGGAGTAGCGAGCCTCCTACACCGATCAGAGCTGCTTTACCTTCGCCAGCAAATGATGTGGTTGAACCCCAGTTGACGGAAAAAGAGAAACAAGATATACTAAAATATGTCGAAACCGAAGCTCCAGAAGTGGAAGCATTGGACGAAGCAACGCTCAAAAGAATGGTACTCTTATTTGAGAAAAGAGCACTTAGAAATCAAGAAATGAGAGTGAAGTTTCCTGATCAACCAGAGAAGTACGTAGTTTTCAAAACAGTACATGTAATAATCCAAAGATATAATTTGAAATTCATACAATTTTAACTGTAATAGATTTATGGAATCAGAAGTTGAATTGCACGAGACTCTTCAAGAACTTCATGTTATTGCTACTAATCCAGATCTGTATCCATTAATGGTAGACTTAGGTGCTGTACCTTCTTTACTTGAATTGTTATCGCATGAAAATACAGATGTAGCGGTTGGTGTTGTAGACCTTTTGCAAGAGTTAACAGATGTAGATATTTTACATGAAAGTCAAGAAGGTGCAGATACGCTTATCGATGCTTTGTTAGAGCAACAAGTGTGTGCTCTTCTTGTTCAAAATTTAGAAAGATTGGATGAAATAGTAAAAGAAGAAAGCGATGGAGTTTATAACACATTAGGTAATTATATTTAAATTGTACCAATTTTTCAAACATAGCAAATTAGTGGTAACGTGTCCTCTTTTCAGCTATTTTTGAAAACCTTTTGGAGTTCAGACCTGACCTGTGCGTTGATGCGGGAAAACAAGGATTAATGCAATGGCTATTACGCAGGATTAAAGCGAAAGCGCCGTTTGATGCCAATAAACTTTATGCCAGTGAACTTTTATCCATTCTTTTACAAAGTACATCAGAAAACAGACTTCTTCTCGGCGAGCTTGACGGTATCGATGTATTATTACAACAATTAGCGGTATGTATATTTTTTATTATCGTATTGCTTTATTTGTTTTGTGTTCATTTATGTGAATTTCAGTATTACAAACGTCACGATCCTCAAACAGCTGAGGAACAAGAAATGATGGAAAATTTATTTAATGTACTGTGTTCAAGTCTAATGGCAACTGTGAATAGAAATAGATTTTTAAGAGGGGAGGGTTTGCAACTTATGAACCTAATGTTAAGAGAGAAAAAAATGTCTAGGAATGGATCTCTGAAGGTAAATACCGAACTAGAGATCGTAAGAAGTTCTAATACAATCAATTTTAATATTACATTCTAGGTACTGGATCATGCAATGAACGGTCCAGATGGGAGAGATAACTGTAGTAAATTTGTAGACATTCTTGGATTAAGAACCATATTTCCTTTATTCATGAAAACTCCAACCAAGAATAGAAAGAGAATGCTTACCGCGGAAGAGCACGAAGGTAATTAAAACAAGTAAGCCGTATTTTATTCGCGATGATCTGAAATATAACAAGGATTCTTTTCTTTTTCGTAACACAGAACATGTAGTGTCAATCATAGCAAGTATGTTAAGAAACTGTAAGGGCCAACAGCGTCAGAGATTATTGAGTAAATTCACGGAAAATGATTATGAAAAAGTGGATAGACTGATGGAACTGCATTTCAAATATCTTGAGAAAGTGGAGGAAGTCGAGAAGAATACGAAGGTTAGTAATTTAACGCGAAAGTTTACTTAAAAATACATTCAATTTTATAATAATTACTAGGAAGATGAAGATGAAGAGGAATCGTACCTGAGAAGATTGGATGGTGGACTTTTCATTTTGCAATTAGTTGATTATGTACTGTTAGAAGCTTGTACTGGTTGCCCACCGGCAGTGAAACAACGAGTTACGCGAATATTAGCTCAAAGAAGAGCATCCCTTAAAACCATTAGGCACATTATGAGAGGTATGCTTTTTATTATAAGACTTGGATTACCGATACGCAATGTTTGCAATTTTGTTTTTTTTCCCGTTAGAATACGCTGGGAATCTTGGGGATGCTGGCGATTCGGAGTGGAGAGAAGCAGAGCAACAACATATACTCCAATTAATTGATAAGTTTTGATGTACACTTTTTAATGAAGAATTGAAATTCTGGACATCCCCGTTGTATTCAAATCGCTATCAAAAGTAATAGACCTACCCTCCGTTCGTAGTCTAATATATGCATGAAATATATTACACGAGATATCCTTTTTTATACGTAAAGACGAAAATCAGTTTGTAAAAAAATTAAACATGCGTGTCGTACACATTAACGCATTATTTATTTCGTGGACAAATAACTGTTTGAAAGTTGCGCCATAGCGATTCGTAATTGATCGATAAATTCGTTGCTTTTTTTTTCACGAGGCATAGTTATGTCGATCAATTTACATCAGGCCATATGATTTAACAACGCCTGAGTGCACAATAAGCAGTTGTTCATTCAAAATTTCTAATTAGTTTCAGTTTACCGGTAGTGAAGTATTTTCCATCCATTGCTGAAACATTTCGTAACGATACTGTAGATGCAAGTCAATAAAATGGGTGAGAATAAAGTAGAGATTACGAGTTGTCGTCCATTGTACCATGTCAATTTTGAACAAGTTAACCGCCAGTTTGACCAACGTTGTCCGTCCGTACGAATCGGAAGATACCGTTTATAATTTGCAAAATTACTACGGCGAAGTATTACTATCGGATTACATATGGAAGAGCTGCTATCATCGAAAACGGTTCGGCCTTTACGAAAAATTTACCGTCAACAACGGCTACGTGAATTACTATCACACGTACAACGACCGCGGCGATGCCATTCATTATCAGAAATATTTTTCTTATCTGGAGTTCATCGTATGTCAAGTGAGTGAACGTTTCTTCAAATTTATTGGCCAATAATTTGCGTTCAGTGGCGTAACTAAAAATGTATACATTCTCTATAGAGATGCGTAGGTATAATTCTTGTTTAGATACGAGTATTGAGTAACTCTTTATTTATTATACATAAGAGTTGCTGGTTATGCCACTGTTCGTAACGTTTTCATTGTAAACAAAGCATCGCTGAAGGAAAAGGGATATTTCCATCCAGGGCCGGTTTTAGCAATATCGGCGCCCCATGAAAGATTATCATGGCGCCCCGTCAGGGGTATATACAGGGTATCCCAAAAATGTTGTAACACCTTGGAAGGGGTGGTTCGGGAGGTGATTTGAAACAACTACTTCCTTAGCGAAAATGTTGTCCGAGGCTTCATTGAGTAGATATTAACGGAAAACCCCGACCAATCAGAGCGCGAGTATGCCGGTGGAGCGTAGGCTACGCGCTAGGTGACTGCTCTCGTACGCTACCGCGGCCGCTCCACCGGCATACTCGCGCTCTGATTGGTCGGGGTTTTCCGTTAATATCTCCTCAACGAAGCCTCGGACAACATGTTTGCTAAGGAAAAAGTTGTTTTAAATCACCTCTCGAACCATCTCTTTCAAGGTGTTACAACATTTTTGGGGCACCCTCAGGCCCGGCGTAAGGCAGATTCAGCGCGTTCGCCGGAACCCGGCCCCGCGGTCTACGAAAATTTTAATTAACTTTTTACGGAATGATGATACCATTAACAGATGCAAGACATTTTTTTATTAGCGATGATTCGGTTTAAAGGAGTGACAAAAATCATCAAAGTATTATTATTTAATATTCATCTTATAAAAGATCTGTAACAGCATTTGTAAATAAATAATTCCGCGTTGTAAAATTTAAGTGTAGGATTTGAATGTAAATTCAGGCCCCACAAAATTTTTGAACCCGGCCCCGCAAAAGGTCACACCGGCCCTGGGCACTCTGTAGAGATGCGTATGTAGGTATAATTCTCGTTTTATACGAATTCGTAATACGAATTTTGAGTAACTGTTTATTTGTTATACATGAGAGTTGCTGGTTACGCCACTGTTCGTAACGCTTGCATTGTAAACACAGCATCGCTGAAGGAAAAGGAATGTTTCCATCTAAACGCAATTATTGTTTAAGGGGTATACGTATACATGGCGAAAAATTGCGCGCGTTTTCTCTCGGACGCATGCGGCCTTATAAAGCACGCTCGATCGTCTCACCGGGTCTTCCAAGTTCCATACAGTTCCATGCAGTTCCATAGCAACCATAGTGCGTGTATCTCTTAGGAGAATCGAGGAGACACGGTTCGAGTAATCGAGTTTTCAAGTTTATTTTGAATCGCGTGCGCGGTGTGCCCTCTTCGCACCCTTCGACGGCTTCGACGCGATGCTAAACAGAAACGTTGTGTTGTGATACGGATAGTAGGGAAGGGGGGGTCAACGCTCGGTGAACGATCGATCGGGATTGGCTCAGCCGCTGGCCGCTCGGCCAATCGCAGCGCGTGTTGCGCCCTTGCGCGAAAGTTTGCTGCACGAGAAACGCCAGTTTGCTCCTGCAAGCTTTAGAGGCGCGGTTGTTGGTCGTGTCGGCCGGTTCGTGGTGTTTTTCCGCTACCCTTCGTTACGCGTTTTTCACGGTATGTAAAACGAAGACAGTCGACGGGAACGTGTCGAAACGACGAAGAATCCGTGCGTGCCGGGTGTGTTTAATTTTTGTGCTTCTCTTCTTGTGCTGCGATCGTCGCTGATCGAATTTTGAAGGGGACTGCGGCGAGGGAGCTCCGATCTCTCGGAGAAGCAACCACGGTATGTAACCTGTCAATTTTCATCCCTTATTCCGCGATTATTTCCTCGATGTTATTCGGTTTGATATCGTGCTCTGGATTGGAACGTGCGCGGATAAACATTAACTCGAACGCATAATTTTGATAAGTGATGTCGAAACGTATCGCGACCTAGGCTCTTTTAGTGTTTGGGATGTTTAGGAAAGGACCGCTAAGGCGGTACTATGGTCCTTGTATCGTCGTATTCTAAATACTCGTTTATTTAGGATATCAACAGAATATCGAACTATGACTACCGCCATTTACAAAATTTTCGTCCAATTCTCTCTTATCGAAATCTGTGACGTACGATTATTACTATCAATTCGCGTAACGTTTCCATACTGAAAAGCAGATGTAAATCGCGAGAGAAATAACATGTGTCAACGTGGTTCGACTAGCCGACTGGCCTTGTGTAAGTAACATGTAACGTTCACGTTCGGGTCGTTTCGGACAGAAACGCGTTGCTCGCGTCGAATTCCGATAATATCTGTTTTATTTTATGGCGTCGTTAAAAATTCGCTGCGGTTTCTTACGTCTCTAAATGACTTCATTCTTTCGTCACGAAACGAACAGAAAACGTGGTATCGAGTGACACTCGTGGTTTCTCGCGGTTTAATCCGATCTTTTCGTAAACACGGTTCGACACAGCAGAATTAGCGCGATCCGTGAGTGATTAAATCGTACTAAAATTAGAACGTCTCGAGACTATCCACGAAGCTCTCGGTCTGTGCGATTATGATCGGTGCAGTCAGGATTCCTAGAATAAATTCGACGATAAATACGTGGCTCCGCGCAACGTATCGCGTAGAAGGTTGGAGCGTTTTATAAGGTTTCTCGTGTAACTCCAGCTGAGAGGCGTCCTTACAGCGTAAAGCCGATTTTGTCGTTGTCTGTATCTACCGTGACGTAACGTCTGTCCCTTTGTATTTGTGTTGTGTTCGTCACGTGACTGGATCACTCGGACCTTCGCAAGGACAAAGCTGTATACACGTAATTTCACGGGAGAAGCGAACAGGATTTTACGTGGTACATACAGTGGGTGTAGAATGTATTCGTACACCGATCAATTTTCCAAAAAACTTTTGTGTGCAATTGTAGTTTCTTAACTTCCTTTTTTATAATCAATGATATTTTACATATTCTCGGAAGTCTCTAAGATAGATATAGTCCAAACAACATTTACTTGTTAATAGAATTTGTGAAATTAACAAAAAAGTGGGTAAAAGTGTAGAAGCAATAAGTATTTGTACGATTCATATGACGAACCATTTACAGGAGAGTTTGTAACGTAAACACGTTAGTTTATTGCTCCGTGCGAATCAGGAAACATGAAATTTCCAGGAAAGTACTTTTAAACAGTTGTGCGAATACTTATTGCTTCAACATTTCTATCGATTAATTGTTTTTGTCTTGTTAATTTCGCAACTTACATAAATAGCTATTTTTTTTTTGGTAATGTATCTATTCCAGAGATTTCCGAGAATATGTAGAATGACATTGTTTATAAAAAGTAAGTTAATAAATTACAATTTTACATAGTTTTTTTTTTGGAAATTGATCGGTGTACGAATACTTTCTACACCCACTGTAGATCCAATTTAACCCTTAAATGGACGATTTGTTTTTCCTAGTTGTCAAAATTACAAAAAAATAAAAGAAGGTCAATTTTATCTGTGATGTTTAGTATGTTGTTTAAAAACAACATTGTCCATTTAAGGGTTAAGAACAAAATGTCATACACTCGTGATATATTACGTAGTAAATTTAATATATCTAAATACCAGGGTTGCGAGTAATTAATTACTTTTGAAATTAATTTCCGTCTTTAATTGACAATTAATTACAAACAATATAATTACAAATTATTTAATTGAAATTGAATTAAGTAGAATTAATCGAAGATATTTAATTGACGACTGATATAAGCAAATTTAATCGAAGATATTTAATTGACGATTGCTTTAAGCAGAATTAATTCAAGCTATTTAATTGACGATTTGTTTATATCTTTAATGTTAAAAAACATTTATATAAAATTTAACTAATTGTATAAGTAACACATATAAATAAACATATATATAAACCAATTTCTAGCGACAAATGCAATATACTAAATACTATTAACCTCATCAAAATGAGTTGGTTGTATATATAATAATATATTTGTTAAGGTAATTCTATGAATAAATAATTTATAACGTAAATAAGAACAAATATGTATTCTTATTCAATGACGACAAAATACAACAAATATATACCATAGGTATAAGTTAAAGTAATATACTAAAAATTTAGCATTACCGGCATAATCTTTTCTGTACGAGCGCCGGATATATCTGGCATCCATCTAATAACCTTATATGTGTTACTTATACAATTAGTTAAATTTTATATAAATGTCTTTTAACATTGAAGATATAAACAAATCGTCAATTAAATAGCTTGAATAAATTCTGCTTAAAGTAATCGTCAATTAAATATCTTTAAATATCTTCGATTAAATTCGCTCATATCAATCGTCAATTAAATATCTTCGATTAAATTTGCTCATATCAATCGTCAATTGAATATCTTCGATTAAATTCGCTCATATCAATCGTCAGTTAAACGACTTTCGATTAACTCTGCTTAATTCAATTTTAATTAAATAATTTTTAATTACATTTATTCAAAATATTTATTAATTAAGTTGATTGAATTAAATTTGTTTAAATCAATTATTTAATTAAAAAATTGTAATTGATTATTATTAAAACCCTGCTAAATACTTGCTTGCAATAGATGTTTCGTTCCCAAATTGGATTCTCCAATTTAACTACAACAACAGCTAGTTTTATTAACAACAAAAAAAAAAAAAGACATTTTCCTGTAAATATTTTCCTGGTTTGTTAACGTGCTTAGCCGCACACTGCGGTCTAACGACACCAGCATATAATTTAGAGAAACAATTACTGCATCTCTTGAGGAAAGAACTAGCCCGACTCCGAGATAACTAGTTCCAATTTAATTTACGGACTGCCCTCGCGTTAATACCTGTAGTTTTCAGAGTTATCTTGAATTTGTTTAACGCCGCGTTAAGTCCGTTCACGTCCCATCGAGGAAATTGGTAACGTAACTTTTCGACCTTCGACCGCGTAGTGTGCCGCATATGATGCACGCCAGTTTTTCGTGATTTATTTTTCGATCTTACGTGCTTGGACGCACTGCATAATACGATATGATAAATATACAACGTTTAGATTCTAAGCAATACTTTTTTTTTTTCCAAGCGGTAAAAGGTTAGAACCGATTCTAAAGGTCGCTTTTATTAATATCTCGTTAGATTGCTCGAATGGTAAGAAATTGTGCGAGCTATCAATTAACCTATCTATGCCCGCAGTAAACATTCCACGAGTTAAATAAAATCGAACGACACGAGAGGGTATTTTTATAACTATAACGGGTGAAAATATCGAAAGTCACTCTGAACGAGTAATTTCACTTTATTACTTGAACATTTTCTTAACGTAATATCAAGATAGAGATTCAACCAAGTTCCAGATGACAGGTATGATGTTTTTCTTTCCGTAGAATTCGTAGTACACTTGTTTGGATCTCCATGTTGATATTACGTTAAGAACATTTCCAAGCAATAAAGTGAAATTACTCGTTACATCATTGGTTCAGGGCTAATAAAGGTACCTTTTTATTTAGAATTCGATACTCTACCATATTTTTGTACAAAAAATATAGCATTCCATTTAAAAAACTGAAGGTCACCTTCATTTCTCAGAGAATAGTACAAATGTAAGTTTGACGACTTTTCAAACTTGGTCACCTATACGTCTACGTCGCGTACGTAACTGAAGGTGACTGAGAAACGCTCATTACAAACAACACACCGGCGCACAGTGCGGACAAATAGCAAAATTGTGGACAAAAATCAAAATTTCGTTACTAATATAAATATATTGCTATTTATTCACAAAAAACAAAATTAAAATTAACCATAAACATTAATAAAATCACAACAAAGTTAACAAATTTGACAAAAAATTAACAAACCCCGTTTTTGATGAAACTTTGTATACTTGTTTGTGGGACTTTCTTATGAATTACACCATCCTCAGTATGTGCGAATTTTGCGTTTTGAGGGAGAAATTAACCGTTTTATCCGAGCCGCCCCTTTTACTTTTGCTCGGAAACGATTAGAGATTACCAAAAAAAAATGTTCAAGCAAACAATTACACTGCTTTTAGAGGTCTATAAACCAATACCAACAAATTTAAAAAAGAAACAAATTTTTGTTTAAGTACCCCTCTCCTCTTGAAATTTGTAAAAATTTTGATTTATTTCTGGATCAGTAAAAGCGTTTTTTTTATTCCGAATCCAACGGTATGTATGAGTTTATGATTATCGTACAGGAAAATGATGTAATATTGTAAAATTGTCGCTTTAGTAGACTATATTTCGAATTCTTTAGGAATTTTTGTCTCATAAATAATAGAAGTTGCACCCATATGTTATTTAACACACTATGCTGCCTTTTGGCCGAGGATGTGAAAAATAATTTTTATAGAAATCCATAAAGCAATTAAATCAGAATGTTTTAACTTCCAATTGCGACCCTGCACCAACCGTACGGTCCCTTATTAAAAATTATGTAAAACCGAACGTTGCAAGTATTTGCAAGAAAACATATAAGTTTCTTGAAATATAACAAATAATCTATCGAAATATGTTGAGAACTCAGGATATTTTTTGCCGTTTTGTCTGCATGTTTGTTTAAAGATAAAGACTGTAGTATGGATAGAAATGATTGATGCATGATTATTTATAACAATTTCCACGCTGACGCACATTTTCTACGATAGAAATCTGCCTCATATTGTGATATATACTAATATTGAATTTTGTCCACTTATTCCGCACTGTGCGGCAGCGAGGCATTCGCTGGTCAGCCGTTACGTAGCATAGTCGTCGGCTATAGAGCAGTCGGAA